ATGTACGGTACAGCGAATAGAATAGAATAGAATAGAATAGAATAGAATAGAATAGAATAGAATAGAATAGAATAGAATAGATCCCTGAACCAAGAGAACCCAAAGCTTCTAAGAATTTATTCTTATTATTTGTATAATATGTACAGATGGAGAATAAATATTTCCTTTGCTTCATAACACTGATCTAGTACCTTCCCTTTTCTTTCTCTGTGCAGCTCCGGATGGCCCTTCTCTAAGTTCCTGACCTATGGTGGGGGTGGGGGGTGGGGGAGACTAAACAAGTTGAGAAAGGACCTATTTTCAATCTGCTTTTAGACATCTACCCTAGCAATGCTCCCCTGGCATCCATCTTTAGATTTCAGAATCATCTTTTTATTTTCCCCAGTTTTTAAACTTATATCTTACAAATGGGGGGAAACTTGACAAACTGTTTTGGATGCACAGGGATCTTTTGATTAAGCAAAGATTTAAAATACGTTCGTTCAGGAAATGGAAAATGCATGTAATCTCCAAGGCGGTATACCAGCAAGTAACTAATCTCTACAGAAGGATAATCAGAAAGGCTAAAGCGTAAAAGGAACTTAATGTCCCTTAGCTTCTCAACAAGGAAGCGAAAAGTAACCCCCCCCCCCAAAAGGCTTACTTCTTAATGGTAAGAGAAAGAAAAAGGAAGGCGTGGGCCCACTGCTAGAAGATGGTGGGATAAAGAGCTAAAGCTCCTCAACTTCAGCTTTGCTTTGGTCTTTCCCCCAAGGTGGAACTTTGCTCCAATGGACCTCAGCAGAAGAATTCACACAAGGAGGGAATGCTAACTCGGGGTAAGGAGAAATTGTTAGGGAATACTTGGCTAACACAAATAAGTTAATATCTCCATGATTAGATCAATTACATCTTGAAGGAACCTACAGATGTCTTCTAGGAGCCCCTGTCCATGATCCTTGGAAAACCATGGATGACAGGTGTAGCATCAGGGTACTGAAGAAGGGCAGGTGTTGTTCCTATCTCCAAAAGGGGAAAAGAAGATGGCCTAGGTAACCACAGATCAGGCAGCTTAACACTGATAGTGGGCAAAACTCTGGAACAGATTAGAGAGCAGTGAATGTGTGAACATTTAAAAAGGAATGCATTACTTGGCAGGAGCCAGCATGGCTTTACTAAGAATTAGTCATATCAGACAACCTGATCTGCATTTTTCATAGACGATCAGTTTAGTTGATCATGACAATGTAGTATACATAGCATAACTTAACTTCAGCAAAGCATCCGATGGTTTTCCCACAAGATATAAGTAGAGAAGATGGCAAAATATGGATTGAACTATTATGTTACCATTAGACCGATGCAGAGCTGGTTAAAAATTTATACTCAGTGGATATATATCCATAGATCTTTGTTGTGCTGGAAGGAAGTGCTGAGTGGCATACAACAGAGCTCTGTTCTAACTCTGGGCTGCCCAACATAAATATAAATGACTTGAATGAGGGTTACGGAATATAATTACCATTTGCAGATGACCCAAAGATTGAGGAAATAGCCAGGAACATAGAGGACAGTAGCAAGATTCAGGAGAATCACAACAACAAGGAACAATGAGGAGAAACCAGCACAATGAATTTCAAGAGAGACAAACACAAATTCCTATATTTGGGTAAGAAAAATAAAATGGATGAATCTAGGATGGGAGGAATCACACTAGGTAGCTGTATATACAAAAAGGAATTGGGTATCTTGGTTCAACATGAGACAACAATGTAATAATGCAGCTGCATAAAAAGCAAATGCAATTCTAAATGAACAAAAAGATAATAGTGTCAAAATCAAGAGCAGTCATGGTTCCTCTCTTTTCTGCATTGGTCAAATTTCACCTAAAATACTGTACCCAGTGCTGGCACCATATTTTTGAAAGAACATTAACAAACCGAAGAACAGAACAACTGAGATGATAAGGGGTCAAGAAGGAAAAGCTTAAGAGGAACAGTTGAGTGCATTAGGTATGTCTAGCTTGGAGAAGTCTACCAAGGTGTCTACCTAGCTGTCTTCAGATATCTAAAGGGCAGCCATGTGAAGACAGGGCAGAATTGTTCCATAAGACTAAAGAAGAAACAGTGGATTTAAGTTACAAGGAAGTAGATGTGGGGATGTGGGTTGGATATCAGGAAAATGTTTCTAACAGTAAGAAGTGTTCAACAATGAAACAAAGTGCCTCAAGAGGTGAGGTGCAGAACTTGCTTTGACTTGGAGGTGTTTGAGCAGAGTCTGGATGGCATTTGTTTGGGGATGGTCTAGTGGTGGATTCCTATAATGGCCAGGGGGTTGGACAAGATGATCTCTAAGATCCCTTCCAACCTTTACATTCTATGATAAATCAGAATTCAAATAAAGCAAAAGTTATCTTAACATATGAGCAAAACAATATGTATCCACCAATTACCAAACTAATTTTAGAAAGGTTAAACGTTATTCAGAAAAAATGTGATTCAGAATAATAACAAAGGATAGAAAGCAGATAAGGAACTCATGTATATTTTTGTGCCCAGGTTCAACATTCTTCATTTGCACCTATTCAATTCCTGACATCTTTTTAGAGCCTCTGGGAGAGGATGGCTAAGCAGCTCCACAAATGAATGAAGAAAACGCCACCGTATGTTTGGAAGGCAGCTTTGCTGGGAACATTCTAATGCTGGTCTTCTCCCATCTTAAATCACTTATAACATGTGAAGAGTAACAGTTGGTTTTCTTACTTATGCAGCCACCAGCAAAGTAGGGCAGAAGCTATGAGGAAGCACACAACTATGTCCATTCCTGTTGGCACCCTTTTTACCTCACTGTATCTCAAAGCTAAAAACTCACTAACCTGGCATTTGGCCCTCTTCTTCCTCTTCTTCCTCCTGATCAATTTTGGATTCCACCTGGAGCGTTCGGTTATCGTCCATGAGCGAAAGAGAAGGAAGAGCAGAGGCCCCTGTGGTTGTTGCTTGCACAACTGAAGGGTGAGGCCTCATTCCATGTTCAGAAATGTGAGTGCTTTCTTCTTCCTCTGTTCAGGTGCAAAAAGAGAGGGGACGCCATGCACACCAGGCCTCTAAGAATGCTAATCAAACGGGTTCATTAAAATGGAGCATTCTAGAACAAAGCACAGTGTAGTCTTGAGAGTAACCGCAGCCACTCACTATTCCTGACCTGGGAGAGTTCTTGAGGCCTCTGCCTCAAATTCAAGAGCTGCTTTGTGGTTCTGCATCTATCTAGGACATATACTGTATAGACTTAGAACAGACATTGTAGCTTCATTTATATATGTCTCCATTAAATCAATGGTAAAATTAGATCCAAAGTGTTATTTTGGAATAAAAAGTTAATGTGCAGTTAATTGCTCCAACTGGAGCGAGACTACGTGAATAGGCATAGCCAGAAATATGCAGCAATTCTTAAAAATCAAAGCAAGGAAATACTTAAGCCAGATGATCAAATAAATAATCTTCTGTATTTCCTCTCCTTATATCTACCTTATTGATTTGATTTTTATCCCACCTTTATTTTTGGCCTCAAAGCTCAAAATGGTATACACGCCTACTGCTCCTGCCTCCTGTCTTCCCGCCACAACCATCCCGTCAGGTAGTTTGGACTGGCCCAAGTCGCCTGGATGGAACCCAGAGTCTCCTGGTTTCTAGCCCAGCAATGCAGCCGCTACTCCAAACTGGCTCTGCACTGGAGCCTTGTGGGAGGGGCATCAGGCAGGAAATGCCAAGCAGGGCTTGGGAAAATGGGCCTCCCTTGCTTCATGCCCCTTGCCTCTGGACTTGCACACCTGAGGGGCCTTCCATGTGAACACCCTGAACAGGAATCACCTGGTTTCTCATTCAAGATTACAGGTGGGGAAAAATCCATGCAGTGGTGACAGGTGACACTTCTTCAGTGGAAATTGGCACTAGTACAGGAGATGTTCTGCCCTGATTGTTAAATAAAATGAATCCGCGTGAAGTACTATTGCTTTTGCCCCTTTATTATTTTGCCTGGCATTTACAGAGGTCATCATAAGAACTCTCTTCAGAAATACAAAATTAGAGCACCAGAGAGTTTCTTTAACTAAGAGGTGGAAAGAGTTTGCTCTTTATCCATGGGCAGAAAAGGCCAGAGCAGAAACAGCGTGGCTCCTTCCTGGCTGTCTTAATTCCAACACAGACCCCGCTTCCCATCTGGCAACAGGGCCCTCTCTCACCGTTATCCAGATTTGATCCTTCCTGGTCGCCTTGAATCTTCTTTTGCTCCTCAAAATATTCCAGCACCTCAAGAGGCAGCTTCTCTCCAGGGATGCGAGGAGGTAGCAGAAGAACGTTGTGGTTATCATAGCCCTTCAGCATTCGCAAAATCTGCCATCAAGAGAGCGCAAGGAGCAAAGACTTTCTGAGCAATGCACTCCCAGACAGATTCCAGATGAGGATTTATTCTGAAATATCCATGCCTTATCCGCCTAGATTTTTTCTTATCTGAGAAAGTCTGCTTTTTTTTTTAGAAGGTTAACACAATTTCTACAATTCTGAATGCCCTTAGTTAGTGCTACTTCTTTCCCCAAATCCTGAAAAACAGGCTCAGATTACTCCGCTGAAAATCCAGACATTTCTTGTCCCCCATGCTGTTCGACATCTACATGAAAATTATCTTTATTATCCAATCTTCCTTATTATCAAATTATTATCAAATCTTCTTTATTATCAAAATTAACAACAAAGTAATTAGTATTCTTGAACACTAAGTCACAGGAAAACAGAAAGACAGGATTAAAAGGTACCTTGCAGGACATCTGGTTCAACCACCTCCTGAGGCAGTTAGTCCCATTGTTGAGCAACTCTTACCGCTAAGGAACTGAAATCTACTTCCTTATCATCAGCATACTTATGTTACCTCATCACATGGTGACAACGATTTCACCCAGCGGCTTCATGTAGATGTTAAACAGGAGCAGAGAGAATAACGAATCCAGTGTAATCCCACAGAGCAGAGGCCGAGGACAGGACCTCTCGCTACCAGTCAACACTGACTGGAACCGGCTCTGGAGAACCGGCACAACACAACGCCACCCACCCCCAACCACCAAAACTGATCCAGAAGGATACCATGGTCAATGGTATCGAAGGCCTCCGAGAGGTCCTGAAGAGCGAGGATGGATGCTCTACCCCCATTCAGCTCCTGCCAGAGGTTCATCCAAAAGTGTGACCAATGTTGTTTCAGTACCATACCCAGTCTGGACATGACTTGAGGCCTCCTATGCCTTTGATACAGCACCTAGAACCTCTCTAAAAGTCACCAGCAAATAACCATTTTTAATGGGATGGAAGGGTAACATTATTATACATGGCATATAATCAATTTAATTAAATTTAAATCCTCTGATCCCCTTTACTTTTGGGAATGTGGCCCCCAACCATTTCAAGTGTGGCCCTTGACTCAAGAAAGGTTGCACAACTTATTCTAAGGTCTATGAACACGTGACACATTTTAACTGCTAACCTCAGAACATCTTCCTGGAGGAGGATTATTTATTCAATAAATACTTTTGGTAACTCTCAACTGGAGTAGATGGCTTACCCGCTCTTCCAGAAGATACTGCTGGTCAAATTCTAAGGAGTAGAACTCAATAGGGAAACAGCATGGGTTTTTCACTATCACTTCAGCTTCATCCCCAATGCCATATGGAAGGAGAGGCCCAAGTTCCAGGAGAGAGGGGCTGAACTCAAGACGTGGCTCCAGACCTTGCCCAGAGACATTCAGCAGCAGTTGCTGAGTGCTCTGTGAAATGCTCAAGATCAGGACATTATGGTAGAGTTTCTAAGATGTAAAAAATAATAAAATTTTATTACAAATAAGAAGGGGTAAAAAGGCCATAAAAAACAAATCATCTTAACCCAGAAGTCCCCATGCTTCAGTGGTAGTACATATTTGTTCAGCTGTCTTCAAAAGAGTTTATAAGGAAGGCCAGAACTTGGCCCACAGATTTGGGTTCTGTCCTATTGGAAAATATGCGTTAATGTAAAGAATTAACTCAGAAGATTTGCTGTCTATCTGGGATACCTGAATGTAATCACTATCTGGCCAGTCCCTTTGTTGTACTATATCATATCAACTGAGATCAAAATTGATAACCCACCACTTGCTCTTCCTTGGTATTTGGGCAGAATCCTGGCAGGGAAGGAGAAGAAATATCCAGGCACTCGGTCTTCTATAATAAATCTACTTTGCATGAGGAATTGAATTGTCTGATTGATCCCTGCCTTTATTAGCCTGCCCTGCCATTAATACATCTCTACTATTCCCAAACAGCTTTCTGATTTCCTACCTCTTCCCTTGGTGCAAACTTGACTTGCACATTGAGTCGCTCTCCAGGAGCCAGGATTCCATACGGGGGAATCATCTCAAATACATGGGGTTTCACCTTGTGCTCCTGCATCTTCCGACGCAAGGTCACTGGCATGTGCTTATCCACCTGAGCTTACAACAAACAATGAAGTCACTGACCAAAACTTGCCTCTTTGTACCATTCCTAAGAATCCTCCTGAAAGATAGCACACTCTGGATGACTACAATTATTACCTCAGGCAACACCAACCTTTTGACTGAGTTTCTAGAAACATCTCTACAGTGTCCCTGGAAGGAGGGTGTCTTCCATCCACATGAACAGCGATGAAGGATTCTTCTTTTGCAGGGAAGTAAGGATAATGGGGGTTTCAAGAGAAACAAGAATTCAAACCCCCATTATCTCCACTGCACAGGCATATTCTTGATCTATAGTATGTGACTGACAACTTATAAAGTAAAGAACAGGATCATAGGCTATGTGGAGTTTTGTTTTATTTTGCATTTTTGAAAGATTCAGAATCAAGAGTTGTGTAATTAATCCTCTGCATAGCAAATCTTTTGAAATCTTGTTTTTCACCTCTTATCCTTGTTCATCTCTGGGAAATTTTCCTGAATGCTACACAGATCAAAAGGACTCATCCCCAAGAACCAGAAATAGTACATTTAAGGCAGCTTAATTTCCACCCCACCCCAAATTTCTATACATCAAGCTGCTTTTCAAGGTGCAATATTAAGTTTCTTTCCAGTCAGGGAACAGCAAATAAATTTCTATTATTAGTGTTGCTTTACCTTTTTCATTTGCTCATTGCTTGTGGCAAACCACTCACACACAACCTGCAGCTGATTATGAAGCTGGATGGTCTCCACCTGGCACTGCCCACACTGGACAGCAGAGAATTCCAGATTGTCACTGGACATGCAGAGAGATGGCATGATCACTGTGGCCCGGAGAGAGATGTGAAATGTGGGCCCGGCCACAACCTGCAGCAAATAATATCAAACCCTCCTATGCATGATAGAAGTTGAATGACTGCCCATTCCCATCCAGAATCATACATCCCCACCCTCAGAACTTCTGTATAATATCACATGGATACAACATACACCGGGCCTGAGGAGGGGCGGCCTTGGTTCACACATCCGAGCCAGCTCTGCCACATGCAGGCATTATCATTCTGCTCTTGCAGTCTTGAGATAAGCTGTTGGCCCTGCAGACTGACTAGCTAAGCTGTTCTTTTGATACTAGTTCTTCAGCTCCACTTGCCCAGCTCTCACATTTCCTTCTTTCTTCCTTCTTTTCCTTTCATGTGCAACACCATAAGTCATGCCAGATGATGCCCTGATCCTGCAAATTACAACTGAACTAACCAAAGACTTACAAAATAAACAAAGTATAAGGAGTAAGCCTGCAGTTCTCTGGCATCACCCCCACACAGGGAGGCTGGACCTATTAGGTTGGTCCATCCCAGGCAGCTAATGAGCCCAGTTGGGGTTCAGAGGGAGCCTGGGGTTGCTTGGGGGTCTGCTGCATGGTCCAACCAAAGCCCTGGTGGCTACCTAGAATGAGAAGGCGGCTGGGGCTCTGCATTAGATCACGCTTGGGTGGCCTCTCCTCACGCACGGATCCCAGAATTCCCCCTGGTTTATGGAGGAGCTTAGGAAGATGAAGTGGGAGAAGAGACACCCAGAACACCGTTGGTGGACGATTAGGAACAAACCTGACCAAACACAGGCTAGAGCTGCTAGCAGTAAAGATCTCATGGGAGTAAAGCCGATGAAACATAAATATTTCTCCACCCTCACTGCATCCCCAGAGAGCTCTCTGGTGGCCTTGTTTTGGGTGACCTGGGGCCTTCTAGGGGAGAAGAGCTCTGACCTACAAGGTTGCTGTGAGGAATATGCTACGCATCTGATGGCTAAAATCGCTCAAATTTACTTGGGACTTTGACCTTGAAGCAGGGCTAGTGGAGGCCATGGGGGCTAGGTCTTACGTGGTTATCTGGGAAGAATTTGATTCTGTTGAGCCTAAGGAAGTGGACAGGGTTCTCTTGTCAGTTTGGCCACTTCTGTGTGAGATCCATGCCCCTCCTGGCTGGTTAAGGCCACCTGGGAGAGGATGTGTGATTTGGTTTGGGTGGTGGTTAATTCTTCCTTGAAAGAGGGGGTAGTCCCACCAGCTCTTAAGGAAGTGGAGGTACACCCCTTCCTCAATGCATAATAGCCTGACCCAACTAGTCTGGACAATTTTTGTCCAGTTTCCAATTTTCCCTTTTTAGGGAAGGTCGTAGTAGAGCATACCACTGCATGTATGTTTGTGTGTGTGTAAAACACACACACACATACACACAATCAGACCTGACAGAGCCTTCAAAGCACCTTGATGGGCAACAGCACTTCCGTCTCTCCAAGGGGACAGCTGGCACTCTGGGGGTCAAACCATATTTCAAATGTCTCTGTCTCGCAGAAAGGCAGGTTCTTCACCCGATCCAATTCCGTGTTGAAACCTGACTCAAAATAACAACAGAAACATCTCTCACTACTTATTAAAAGAAACCACTTCTGAACTCCACATATATTGCATCTTCACATTTCTTTCTCCAAGACATTAAAAAGGTACAAGTACTCTTTCCCCACCAGCAACTTAATGTAGAAGATTAGATGGAGAGAAGTAGATAGCTTTGGCTTGATTTTGGTTAAATGTGACATGTGAACATAGTCATTAGGGTTTGGAAATGATAGTGTACGTCTGTCTGGTAATTCAACTATGCTTATTCAACAGACTATAATTAAGCAATGTGAAGAGAGGACTCTTTGGGAAAGACCCTGATGCTGGAAAAGATTGACGGCAAAAGGAGAAGGGGACGGCAGAGGATGAGATGGTTAGATAGCATCACTGAAGCAATGAGC